GGAGGTGGGTGGCCAAGAGCAGGAAGTACTATGGAGACGATGAAGGGTTCAGGGTTTAGGGTCCGTCACCCTAAACCGTGGACACGAGGTCAACCAAAGGTTTACCTTTACTATGGCGGCTTGGCCTGGGGCCTTTCTTCGTGCGAGAATCAGCCTTGCACCATTGCATGCTTGGAGGGTCGGGGGACTTCGTAAGTAGGTAGTAAGTAGACTTGTAAGTACCCTAAAAGGGACCCTAATTGGGGTTGTGGTACTTATAACTCCGTAAAACAACCAGTTACTAAGTCTCCCGACCCTCTAAGTGATGGGTTTGCAGCCGAACAGCATTCAGTCAGGGCACCGCTGAACCCTAAACCCTCAACCCAAGTGTTCGTAACCCTGATCCTTTGAACTCTCCCTTAGGGTCCATGTATCCATACAGTACATACTTCGGCCCCAAATACTTTCAATCCAAAGTATTCACTACATGATTACATGGACACTTATGCCCTCTTATACCCTAAACCCTAAACCCTTATCGTGGCCCTATAGAGCCGTTTGAACGAGCCCTCATGGGCTCATGGACCCTTGCGCCCAAACTCCAGGGTGTCAAGTCGCTCAGGACTTTGGGTTTTGGGGTTGAGGGATAGGGCTTAAGGTTTAGGGGTTTAGGTTTATGCTTTCGGGTTTTCGGGTTGAGGATCTTGGTTTCGGATTGAGACTTTGGGATTGAGGAGGTTCTCTTCATTGGAGTCTGTCTTGATTCATTGGAGTCTGTCTTGATTCATTTTGGGTTTCTGTCACTTGTGTTGTACTGTAACCCCAATTAGCCTACACCGACAGCGCCGGTTAAGAAACTGTTATTTTTCATGATGCGGTGCCAGGTATTTTTGAAGTCGTAAATAAAGTTTCGGGATTTGAGGGTGCCCTGGATTTCTTAGCCCAGTTTTCCAACCTTTGCGGACAACTTTTCTAAACCCTCAACCCTTGACCAACATATGGAGCTCCAAACTTGCAGATTTCCCAGGGCGTCCATATACACTACCATCATGGAGTTAGGCCCCAAAAAACCATAATGGTGATGGACTTTTGGTACCTAATCCCATAATGGTAGATACATCAGGGTGTTGTAGTTCCGGTTGGCAGGATTTCGATGAGTTCCCAAGTAGTACGATGTATAATGTATGCCATAAATTAAACTTACTATGCTTGTGTTGGAAAGGAGACCAAAACCGTATTCTAATTGTGAATCTGCATGATTATGAAAGACCCTATCTTAGAGAACCTTATCACGGACCCCCTATAGACCCCTTTAAAGGAGCCCTTCAAGGGACCCTATCCCAATTATTAAGGACCTCACGGCGCACTTTAAAGGCCCTGCGAGATGAACCTGTGAACCGAGAAGAGCAGCCACGAATCCAGGCCCGCAGCGTCCGTCAGCCAGACGTTGATGACTGTCATCGGAATGGGCCTAAAGGAGCCTGAATCCTAGACCCAAAACCCTTTCGATCTGGCTTAGGCCAGCGATTCCTTTAGGGTTTAGGGAAATTCCACAAACCCTACACTCTAAACCCCTCAATCCTAAGATCAGACATGCGGGATACGACAAGAGCGAGCTTAGGGGCTGAGAGTCTGGATTGCTGTGTCTTGCAATGGCCTTCGGCTGCGGGTTTGGGGTTTAGGGTTTATAGGGTTTGAGGTTTGGGGCCTGAGGTTTGGGGTTTGTGGTTTAGGGTTTGGGGTTTAGGGTTTGGGGTTTAGGGTTTGGGGTTTAGGGTTTAGGGTTTGGGGTTTAATTAGGGTTAAGGGTCTTATTTCGTTCAGTAGAGCTCTGGCACCACCGGCAAACCCACAACTGTTTGCACTAGACCACAACTGAAAGAGTGAACAACTTCGGCGTTCAGGTGGACACACATATACACACCATATGTATGGAATAGCCTGTTGAATAAGCGCTCATCCCATATAGTATTGAATTTGCCCTTTCCGGTTTAGGTATTGTAGTGCGAGTGTAAATGCTTCACTGGCACATGGATCGATAGGAATACAGACCTATAACCATACACATATGCATCAACACAGAACTCAAGTCTATTCAGCTATTCATGTACATCGGTCCCTCGGAAAGTTCTGAGTCCCTGATCCCAATGTCCTAACTTTTAAAGGATTCGTCTAGGTTTTGTCAGGGTCGTATGTGAGCTGGAGGGTCTCTTCCAGGGCTTACAGGTCTTTTTTTTAAATATTGGGTTTGGCATAGGGCATAGGGCTTCATAGGGTTCGAGCTTGCATCATGCTGGGTGTGCTTGGAACCTTGAAACCCTCTTGAGCTCAATAAATAGGCCGGCAACTTCTAATCATCCTAAGCAGCCTACAACCCGAAATCCAAAACTGCAAACCCTGTACTATAGAAGTCCGAATGACTGCAGTACTGTTCCTTGGCGTTCTTCGGTGTCATCTTATAGTAGTATAATATAGACCAAAATCCTGTTCAAGTTGTTCAGGCTTCCTTTTTCCTGCGAAAGCCGTGGACCTGACAATAAGTCATGGTCAAAGCTCATAGGAGGCCAAAAGGGGTTTTAGCGTATGGGGGTTTAGTAGGGATTTGGGTTCCCGTAGTAGGGCTCATATTAATGAATCCCACCCCAAGAATCTTGAACCCCCCTTTTGGCCTCCCATCAAAAGCTGTGAGGACGGCTTCCCCCCTTGCAGGGGCGCCGCACTGCAGACGTTGCTCGTCCTTAAGGGCTCTTTGGGATGAGGGCCAAGACTGTCTGGGTTCAGCTATATGGGTAGTTGTCAAAATTAGGGTCCCTTTTTGGGCCCCCTAAATATTAGGTGCCGTATTATAATAAGGACCCAAAAAGAGACCATAAGTTTGACAACCACCCATATGGAAGAGAAGGATCTAGGCCTTCTAGGATTCGGAGGCTAATTGTGGCGTAGGAGTTTGGGTCTAGGCTTCAGGTTAGCCTGATGCTTACTCTGCCAGCAGCCTGATCTTAGGTTGTCTCACACAGCCACGGTCTTCGCACCTGAGGAGAGGGTGCGGAGATTTTTTTCGGCATGGATTTGGGGTTGGGCACAAGATTTCGGTTGCGCTTCTGGGGCTTTGGGTATAGTAGGCTTCAAGGTCGATTGCGTCTCTTTGGTGTCGGTTGGTTCGGTCTTCTTTGTCAGGAACCTCAACCCTAAACCTGCAACAGGCTACCATAAGCCCTACAAGCTTTACCCCCAAAATTCCCAAACCCGAAGCCACATGGATACTCTTACAGGATTGTTGTATCAAGGTGTCTAGGGCTTTGGAATGCAAGGGCTGCTGACCGCAGGGTGAAGGGTGAGCAACCTGTGGATTCATGTAAATATGTATCTGCAGGGCTGTCAGGCTTCATGTACAAAACATTTGTCATGCATGAAATTGACATAATTAGATCCTAAAGGCCGCGGTCGGGATCATTGCAACTGCCAGCGAGCATTGCTTGCCTTGCGTTTTTGCCCGAACTGTAGCTGTGCATGAACACTAAAGCAAAGACCATGTCGGAACCCCACAGAACCCCAACAGGCGTCCATTGCACCCTAAACCCTTAAACCCCCAAACCCTAAACCCCTAAACCCCGAAACCCTAAACCCCTGAACCCCCAAACCCTAACCCCCCGGACCCTAACCCCTAAACGCTCATCCCTGACACCGGAAGCCCTAAACCCTCAGGAGCTCGCTCAGAGGCTTCTGCCCGGCATTTGCCACAGACTCGTTGATCCAGACCAGGTGCAGTTCAGACTCTGGAGCAATTAAACCCTAAACCCTTAAAGGAACCCGCAAAGGATCCCTAAAAGGATCCCTCTGAGGGTTTAGGGGCTCGGGTTTAGGGTTTAGGATTCAGCAGCTCCGGATCGAGCAGTCTCTAGTCGAGCTCGCTACTTCGACAATAGAAAAATACCCACCATTGAGAAACCACAAGTTTTCACCCTAGACTCAGATCCTGAACCCTAAAATCTACATGCTGAACCCAACTTCCAGTAGCGCTTTAACCTTATGAAACAACCCCAGAATATCCTTTAGACTCTATGATACGGTCCCATGAACCGTAAACCCTGAACCCTAGACCTTGAACCCTAAACCATACGCCTTGAACCCTAAACCCTGAACTTTATGCCCTGAACCCTAAACCCCTCGCCCTAGGCCCTGATTTCGAGGGTTTGTGTGCCGCCGAATACGGCGACGAAACCTTGACGACGAATACGGCAATTTTTGACGACGAACACGGCGATTTGGGGGGTTTGTGTGACGACCAATATACGACGGCGAATCCTTGGCGACGAAACGGCGATATCAGACGACGAACGTGGTGAGTTCGAGGGTTTGTGTGACGACGAATACGGCGATTTGGGTGAAATCGCAGAAAAACGACGAATACCATTAAGGTTTAAATAAGTTCTATATATATATATATATATATATATATATATATTTGTTTATAAATTTATGTATATATGTCGTTAAGAGGTTTAAGGTTAGGGTGTTGGGGCTAGCCTTCTGCCGATGATATGTCCTCATAGTCCTTGTGCAGTTCTGACCCTACGAAAAATACCCCATTAACATAGGGCCCCTACAGTCCTAGGTGACGCATGGAAAAACCTTTATGGATTCTCTGATGGTCCTCAGCTGATAAACGGTTACCTAATCATCAAGACTTTTGGGGCCCCGAAACTACAACCCTGAGTACGATTACGGTACCTACTACTTTCGATATTCCAGATCCTAACCATAGAACTAGGTACCGTAATGAAGCGGTAAGGTATGACCCTATCCGCACAGCTGTACTTCATGTTGGGGCTCAAGCAGGGCGTGTACGCTCGCAAGCCATGGTCGGTCGGTATAGGAAGCAATGCGTAGCAGTATAGTCGGTTTAGGGCTTATAGGGTTTCAGGCTCCAAAACATCATCGTGTCAACCGTCGAATCCGACATCGAGGTCCGCTCGTGCGAATCGGCTCCCTGCTTTGGCTGCGGAGTGACGTTCCCAAGAATGGGCGGCATGAGCTCGACACCGCGCCTCAGCGCTTGTTACTTCGGTTGAGGAGTTAAGGATTGTAGGAATCTCCACCAGGTCTTCTCTGCTCTTTCTCCCTTGAGCTGATGTGGCTTTTGGCAACCCTCAGCCTAAGCTGTGATACTTGCGACTCAGGTCAGAGACGCCGAAGAAGCCTACGTTGTACGACGACCACAGCATTAACTGGAAGGTGTGGAAGGAGCTTCCTGTGACTTTTGCTACTCCGTCAGGGGTGGTGCGGGTTTCAGCTCAGCTGTTGTACTTCGCTGAAACTACAAGAAGCCTTGCCGGTTACCGGAGCCGTTACCACCGGTGAACCCTTAAACATCCTTAAACTCTAAACCCACATCAAAGCTGTTATAAGACGCCCTCGAAGGCCCTTCACCCTTACACTCTAAACCTTGAAACCTGAACCCCAAAACCGTATACCCTTTGAACCCTGGAAAGGGGTTTGTAAAAGGAGGCCTCAAACTGTCGAACCCCACAGTACCTTTTGAAGGGACCCCCTGTAATTAATAGCCCTTGATACTTGCCCGTAATGGAGCGCTGAAAGGTTTGAACCATCCGCAACCCGTAAAACCCTAAATCCTAAACTTAAGCCCTAAACCCTTAAAGGAGCCCTTCAAGCCCTACCCTAAACCTTAAATCCGAAACCTTAAGCCGGTAAAGGAGCCCTTAAAGCCCTACCCTAAAACTTATAGATCCTAAACCCTAAACCCTGGGCCCTTAAAGGAGCCCTGAAAGCCCTAAACCCTGAGCCCTGAAAGGAGCCCTTAAAGCTCTAAACCCTAAACCCTGGGCCCTTGAAGGAGCCCTTAAAGCCCTAAACCCTAAGCCCTGAAAGGAGCCCTTAAAGCCCGAAACCCTACACCCTGGGCCCTCAAAGGAGCCCTTAAAGCTCTTAACCCTAAACCCTTAGCCCTTAAAGGAGTCCTAAACCCTAAGCCCTAAGCCCTTAAAGGAGCCCTTAAAGCCCTACACCCTAAACCCTGGGCCCTTAAAGGAGCCCTGAAAGCCCTGAAGGAGATCCTGGCAGACAAGAGGTTTGATTGGATGACCTACGACCCTCCGCACCTTGGGGGCCAATGGACCCCTTAATGTAGGGCTTTAGGGGTTTAGGGTTCGGGGCTTAAGGGTTTGGGGGTTTTGCACCTATGTGTTGGATTCTTGTGATTTTTTTGCTACTTTGGGGACCAAAGGACGCCCCTAAAGTTTAGGGTGGCAGAGTTCAGAGTTTTATAGGGTTCAGGGGTCTAGGGTTTAGGGGTTACACATCCATGACATCAAGTCTTGTTATTGGGTGTTTGGGTGCATTGCGTCGTGAAGGCAGAAGAAGGCCAGCTACGGCGGACAGTTTCGCAATTTCTATTTCTTCCAACCTCGGGCGTGCCTCTCGGTTCCATATGAGGTAATGTTGAGGGTTTGCGGTTTAGGGTAGGTGCCTTTCAACCGAGGCTTAAAAGTTCCGGTTTAGAGTTGAGAGTCTTTTGTTCAGCCGGGCGGGCATCTCGGTTCCACAACAGCTGGGGTTTAGGGTTGAGGGTCAAGTTCTTCCAACCCACGGCGGGTGTGCATCTCGCTTTGTATCTAGGGTTTATGAGGGGTCTTACAGGATCTTTTTTGTGGCTCTGTAGGTGGTTTATGAGAGTTCTGGCAGGGGGTCTGCTGTGGTTCTAAAAGTTGTTTTGCTCGGAGTGCACGAGTTTTGTAGGTCGGAACAAGCTCGCTACACTCTTAAACCCTGGACCAAACTCGCTAATCCCTGCCTTTCAAACACACCTGGTTTTGATGCAATCCGAGGAACGAAGCGTGAAGCCCTATAGTACCCCGATAGGACCCTTCTGGAACACCTAGAGTTTAGGTTTGAGGCTTTTGGTGTAATATAAATACCAATACTATTTTGGGGTTCCTTATGGTAGTTATAGTATTATGGGGCCCAAAGCCTTATTCTATTCATTAAGGCCCCTACATTACAGTGCTTGGGGAACTCAGGCATTGGCTCGTACCCACCATGCTGCATTGCCCAATGCATGCAGTCTAAGCATGGCTACAGGAAGCTCGGGCCTTTTGGGGGCACTCTTGTTCGTTTAACTGTTGGTTCAAGGTTCAGGGCTGTGGGGTTCAAGGTTTGCCCTAAGGGTCCAAGTTGTCCTTAGCTATGGTTTTTGGTACCTAAAGGGCGCAAAAGTGCTATGTAGGGTTGGGTTGGGGTTTAGTCATCGTGTAAATTGGGTAGTTGTCAAAATAAAGGGCCCCAACTCAGAGAACTACCCAAGTTGGGTTAAGGATTTAGGCGTAAACCCTAAGCCCAAAGCCCTAAACCCTACAGGAAGATTGAGATATCGAAGCCGGATGAGTGGTTACCACAATTTCTCGAGAGAGAGAATGAGGACCTTCCGGTTTCCTTCCGCAACCTGGCTCCCCAACAGTGCCCCTTTTCAGGGTTTAGGATGCATTGCCTTCCATGCGGGTTTCCCGTCTTAAAGCCAAATAGTAGGAATAAGGGTATCTTTATGACTAGGTGGCTACTGGGCAACTTAGGTGGTGTCTGGTGGCTGGAGGACAACACGGCAAACGAAACGCTGGTCACTGTGCAGGACATGTGGAAGATCGAGGCATTCGAGGGCAAGACACTGTATAGCAAACAATAGGGTTTCGTGATTATGGTCCCCTATTCCCTGAACCCCAAACTCTAAACGTTAAACCCCCTTAACAGCCACAGCAACCCAGGACAGTATTCATCAAGGACCAGTCTACCAACTGGACCGCGGGGACGAGTATTCCGGCTCGGCGTTAGCAACAGCTTTGGTAAGTAACCCTAAGAGTCCATGTACTCAAATAATATATACATCGGCCTTAATTAAAGTAGTCCCTATTTAGCTACATGGGGGCCAGATTAAATACTATTTGGGAAATTTCATGGGTTTCCTCATCTTTTTCACATGCAGTCGCATGCCCTTTCCGCTTTAGCTGTACAGCGCATCATGGCACGGAGGATTGCCCTAAGGGTCCTAACACTTCAGGAAACCTCAAATTTTAGGATTTCTGACACCCCAAAGAGAGCCAAGGGCTCTCCCTAGCAGATTGTGGACCCTCCTGAGGAGATACCTGACACTTAGGGTGAGAATGATGGTCCAAGTACGTTGCTGTGAGTGTCAAGCCCGAAGCCCTTGACCTAAAGCCCTGTTCAAGTAAGTCTTTCTGAGATACGCAAAGGCTCTCACGCACCTATAGAGTAAAATATAGAGTTCCTACATTAGGAATTATATGTTACTAGGATTTGAGCGGTATCCCGCATGAGGGTACCTAGGACCCTTTGGGATAGGATGCGGAGATTACTCTTGTTCCGCGTATGTTGAGCATAGGCCAAAAGTTATAGACTCTGTAACCCATGATGCAGAAAAGTTGCAGCTGAGGCTTGTGGGGAACCATGTTGAGGAACATGTCGACGAACAAAGTCCCGTTTGAGCTCGAACCTGGTGAGAACCCAAAGTGGTTGGGCATGCTTACAGGTGCCTTGGTTTAAAGTTTAGTGTCGGGTCTTCAGATGCAGAAAGAACAAGGAGAAACATGTCTTGAACTTTTGTTACTAAATTATTTCAGTAGTATGAGTGTTTCTTCTACTGCTACTGCTACTGCTACTGCTACTGCTACTGCTACCACTACCACTACCACTACCACTACCACTACCACTACCACTACCACTACCACTACCACTACCACTACCACTACCACTACCACTACTACTACTACTACTACTACTACTACTACTACTACTACTACTACTACTACTACTACTCCTACTACTACTACTACTACTACTACTACTACTACTACTACTACTACTACTACTACTACTACTACTACTACTACTAGTACTACTACTACTAGTACTACTACTAGTACTACTAGTACTGCTACCATTGCTCTTTTTATCGTTGCCATGGTTATCATTGCCATGAACGGCTGCGTCGTTGACGGTGGCAATGGCGAACGCCACTGCGGCGAACTCAACGACAGCGACTAGTACTTTTACTGAGTACAGTAGCAGTACCAGGTGGTCACCACAAACCGACGTAAAGGTCTTCTGTGATGAGCATTAAATCCCAACGGGTCCCAGTATCATTATGGTCTGTACTTAGACCCCCCACAATACCCTTTAAGTATATACCAGAATGATACTCGGACCCTTTGGGCATGGAAGCCTTCAACTCTCAACTCTAAACTTACGCAGAGGCCCCAAAGTAGTTCCTTTTTGGGATTACTTAATAGGATACTATATACGAACCCCAAAAAGGAACTACTTGGGGGCCTTTACTTAGAGGCCCTAAACCAAGCCCCAGGGGATGACTACATCTACTTCCTTGACGAGGAGGACGCTGCATCGTACGGTTTGGGGTTTAGGGTTTAGGGTTCGTAGTCTAGGCCTCTAAGCACGTTCCGTGTCGAAGTCTTGAGTCGACTTGGAAATTGTTCACACTGGGGGGGGGACAGGGGGATCTTGATGACGAGATGCAGCGACTTCATGATATTCCTTCTTTCTCAAGTCACATAGTAGTTTTTGTCCAAGATTGGTTGGAATAGACACAGCCTTTGGGGCTAGCAAAGCAGCTGATCAGCATACATCCTCGGGATCCAGGCCTATTCTATCACTCCGAACTACGAACCTTCCTAAACAATCCCCAACCTCTATTCCCTATTCCCTGAGCCGCCTCCGAACCTCTGTGACGGTCTCTTGCGGTGGTCCTAAGTCCATGTACTCAGATGATAAAGACTATGGCAGCAAAATATGCCCTGTACAGGTCCCTCGCAGTTAAAGTATGAATACATATATATATATATATATATATATATATGTATAATAGAAAAGCATGAAAGTGAGACATATATATATATATACACACACATACATATATATATATATACACATACATACATACATACATATATACCTATGCACCATATGGGTACATGATCTGGACCCTTAGGGTGATCCAGGATCAGGGGAAGCTGGTGCATCCGGATGGCAAGCCTGTCGACTTCGTGCCGGGTCTGACCTGGCTGAGGGTTTCTTGCAACGCGGAAGTCCGTTGGGCAGCCTTTTTTAGCTCAGCGATATGGGCGCAGGTTTCAATCACCATAGAGTTTAAGGGTTAAGGGTTTAGGGTTTAGGTTTTTTAGGGCTTACCCCCCCAACACCTGAATCCTAAGGGTCCAAAGGACCCAATAATTGGGTACTCGGGCTTAGGACAGTAGTTATGTAGGTTGCTCTTTGGAGAGTATGATGATACTTAGGTACTTGGACCCTTATGGTCAGCAAATTCGGGCCCAGGTTTCAGTAGCCATAGGGTTTAAGTATTTGTTAGTGGACCCCTGAACTACCAACCCTCTAGAGGCATTGAGGTGCTGGAAACGCCTATCTGGTTGATTTCTCCAATCGAGTTCAAGCTACACAACTAAGGCAAGGATGGCGATGTCTCGAAAGGCGTTGCCTACCAGTACTTGATGCGCAAGGTAGCATTCAAGGATCCAGACGGCAAGATCGTCAAGACGCAGATCCCGGGTTTAATCCAGAAATGCGTTTCCCTTTTCACCCATACAGGGGTGACGTTTAATCCAAAGTTTGGGGTTCTGTTTCTACATGTTCATGGAACAGAGGCCTATGCAGAATCCTACCCATCAATACTGAATGCCGGGTGTATTCACAACCGCTTGGCCCAGAACGGAACCTGAAAGTAGGCACCTATCCTTATTGACCCCATGACTTATGATGATCCTTAAACCCCTGTACCCAGACCGGCTGCAGGTATTATGATAAGCTTTTGGAGCGATGTGAGCGTCCGACCCCGGAGGGCTGTTGCTGCAACCTTTTTCTTTGCAACCTGCCGGCTATAGCATCTTTACTGACGGCAAAGGACTTCAGTATGTACGGCTCAAGCACTGTATAGGCGTTCATGGTGTAGGGGCAGAGGGCCTCTGCCTTTATGGGACAACTGGCCTGGAAGAGGGCTCTTTTGACGGTTGATGTCAGGTTTCTATGAATTAGAACTGTTTTGTTGTTACATTGTTGGAGGGGGGGGCGGGCGTATTGTAGTAGCTGAGCATAAACAGTGACCACAGGGGATATCGTTGTGGCGGTCTTGTTGCTCTTCAGTGTCAGGATTGGTGTGCCAACACAGAGAGCCAGATACAGGTAAACCCTAAGCCTTAAACCTCCGAACCCTAGACTGCCGACAAGCGACGTGAACAAAGGGTCCACCGACACGACAAACCTGACGTGTAACTACGCCAGCATGCAAGCAAGACCTTTTCCTTAAGGGTCCAAGTAACTAATTATCGTATACTCTCCAAAATAGTTATAACCTATATAACTACTATCCTAAACCCACGTACCCAATTATTGGGTCCTTTGGACCCTTAGGGTTTCCTGACCTCCACAGGTACGGTTTGGGATTCAACGCTAGAGTGTAACTCTTGCGTTAACCCAGAATAACCTACATTTGTAAGGACTTATAGAAGGAAGTGATATTAAGGAACCCTGAAAAGGCAGGTTCTTCAGGGCTCAGGTGAAGTGTACGAGAGCTTTGCCTGTCATGATACGAGAAGAGAGGGGTGTGGCCCGGTCACCCCGGCCATCAGGGTTTAGGGTTTATAGGGTTCAGGGTTTAGGGTTCCCGGACCTTCCAAAATGCCTTAATTAAGGAATATACCTTAAATTATAGTAGGGTCCCTGATATGATTTAAGGTATATTCCTTAATTAAGGGATTTTGGAAGGTCTGGGTTTCGCCGACTCCGAGCTGAGATGTTGTAAACAGATCCTCTCGGGGCCGGGGCACAGGGCCTGTAGGGTTTAGGGTTATGCACCTACCACTATGGGCTATTAGACCCTAAAGATCCCTATTCGGACCCTATTAAGGGTGGATTAAGGTACCCATAAGGTCTAATAGCCCATAGTGGTATCCGTAGGTATTTCAGTAAGTATGATACGTTATATGGCTCCTCAATTACTGTCATCGCCGAAGGATACTGTTCTTCCCCTAGATCAGGCAACGTCGACGACGCGCGTTTCGCAGCCAGCTACGACGCCCTGGACGACCACCAACTCGTTGTCTGGGACCAGGACAAGTACCCGAAGGGACAACCTCCAATCTCTTCACTCCTGCATCCTCTAAAGCCTGCCTAGGAGTGGGTGAGCCCATGGGAAACCCTCCCCCCCGCCACCCCCTGTGGGGCTCCCAGAAGGGAGCTTGTTTGGGGGTCTGAGGCGGGGCGGACCCAATTTTTCACCTTTGGGCACACCTACACCTTTAATATTAGTTACCTGTGGCCGCATGCGGTTGCCTAGACCTTCACCTTTGCCATGCCTGCAGCTTCGATGCAACATCGACTGCGTTCTTACATCAATCTCGAAGTGTATCTCAAAGCGACTTGAGGCGCCCTGCCCTTGAGTGCAGCATTTCTTCCCTTAAGGGGACGCAACTGACTCTTCTTAGCCCGGCATGCAAAACCGTCAAGTCCGGAAATGCTGCTCGTAGCAGTGGCTGTGGGATCTGCAGGGTAAAGGGGTGTGGAGTTCAGGGGTTTTGGGTCAGAGTTTTTGGGTTTCGCATTTTGGGCTTGGGGCCGTTGGGTTTAGGGTTTATGGCATAATGGGATTAAGGTGCAGGGTTTCCGGGATCCTTCGGTTTGGGTTCAGGGATTTAGGGGTTTGGGTCGAGGTTTAGGTATTTGATCGGGTTTAGGGTTTAGGGTATATAGGGTTTAGGGCTTCGAGTGGGTCGAGATATCTTGCTTTTCCAGCTGTTGTCCTTGCGCAGAGTTTGTGCTTCTCAAGTGCGCCCCGGCAAAGCCCTAAACCCTAAACCCTAAACCCACTGTTGCCCGTTTGTTGGCTATCCCCAAGGGCCTGCCTCATCCCTTTCTACATGCTGGTTAAGTAAAACCTAGTTCCTTGAACCTACGGCTAATGTCTTCCATAACACCCTATGCCTATAGTTCCCTTGCCAAGACACCCTAACCCTAAGGGTCCGAGTACCTAATTGTCATATACTCTCCCAACTAGTAGCCTACATAACTACTATCCTAAACCCACGTACCCAATTATTGGGTCCTTTGGACCCTTAGGGTAACTCATACAAGAAACCCTCAAAGGCAGGTTTCGGGAGACAAGGGTTTTTGGGCTTTGGGTTTTGGCGTTAGGGTTTCGCTTCTCTGGGGGTTTTTGGTTGAGGGTTTTGGGATTTAGGGTTTTGGGTTTAGGGTTTAGGGTTTTGGGTTTTGGGTTTAGGGTTTAGGGTTTTGGGGTACGTGTGAAGGGTTTTGCGTTCCGGGGGTTTGGTTTGGTGTTGTTTGGTTGGCCGCTGCCAGGGCGTTGCGGATTTGGCTTTCGGCACCCTCACGAAGCTGCAAGAAACAATCAGGCGGGACAGAGTGCCTTCGAGTCGACGCTTCCTGCAGGGATCCCTTTCATACATTAGACATGCATGCATCCATCCGTCCATCCATCCATGCATTCAGACATACATGCATACCTACATGCCTACAATGACCTACATACCTACCTACATACAAACATGCGTGCATGCATACAGACCGACATCGACATGCCCATACCCGTGCCCTTACCCATACCCATACCCATACCCACATACATACATTGTATACTTTGCATACATTACATTCTTTACATACATGCATGCGCACCTACCTGTTCATGACTATTTTTATATTCAAAGCACATGAATCCTCCGGCACCTTGGGTGCTGACCCCGAAAGCCGAATACCATCCCGATCGAACCCATCGCAAAACCCTGAAAGGTACAGCGACCCCTGCGCAGTGTAATGAAAGCCCAAACCCCAGACTCTCACCTGGAGACCATCCGTTTCACAGTGAAGCACTGTATCCCATTGCTGCGTCAACGCAGCAAGGAAGGGCCGGAGATTCAGGAGTTTAAACCCTAAGCCCTAAACCCTAAACCGTGGCTGATCTGTAGACTCTGACTCTACACCGCAAACCTATCGAGGCTGCGGGTGGCGAAGTTAGAAAAGAGGCGCTTAACAAAAAATACGATTGACCTCTTTATAGAACCCTTAAAGATCCCTTTAAAGGCATCCTCATGGATCCCTTCAAAACCCTAAACCCGTGCCATTGCAGCCAAGAGAGGCAGATGGTTGAGGAGCGGAGAAACGCTGCTCCGGTGGAGGCTCGTGGGGAAGATGACTGGTGGTTCAGAGTTCAGAGCTTTCTGTAAGGGCCTTAGGAATTAGAATAGGGTGCCTTTAAAGGGCTCCTATAAAGGGGTATATATATATATATATACGGGGTCTTTAAGACGGTTCTATCATATATAGAGGCCTTAGTAATTAGAATAAGGGTTTTGGGGCGCATTAAACTATAGCTATACTATGGAACCCCCCCAAAGTGGTATAGGTATTTATGAAGGCCTTTGTATTAGGGCTTTGGGGTTTAGGGTTTAGAGATTCAGAGCTCTGGGTCTAGAGCTTTGGGGCTGAGGGACTGATAGTCAATGCGGAATACCAATTTGTGGAGGGATGAGGAACCAAGGTCTGCGGATGTAAAGTATAAGTTCGACATGTAGGTTTTGCCTTCAGCCCGGTAGCCTAAACCCTAAGTCCGAAAGTCTTTCTGTTCGGCTGAGGGTTTGAATGGGCTCAGCGTCTGTCCCACATCTTTCAATTGGGTTTCGGTCATGCCTGGTGCTAATCCTGTGTGCTTGGGTCCTAGAAATACTAGCCGCAAAGTTCTTTCTATGTCGGACTCATTAGGCCAGAGTATCTACCTATAGTTATAGTGTCCATTGTGGTTCCTTTGTCTGGTTTAAGCAATATATATATATATATAGATATATGTATTCAGAATCTGAAAGATGGAACTACAATGGAGACTATAGGTACTTGTTTTCGAATACTTGGATCTTGCCTGTAGTCTCCATTGTAGTTCCTTTTTTGGGTTACCTTTCAGAGTCCTTAATATATAGTTGGTTAAACCAATAAAGGAACTACAATGGAGACCATGGGTAAAACCCTAAGCCGCCTAAGCCCGGGTAGTAAACCCTACAGTGGAAGCCCAAAAGTTGGAAACCCAAATAGCCTCAATCCTGAAGACTACTTACTGCATAGGGGATCCCAGCACTATTTGGCCTCAATCCGGTTTCCAACTTTATGGGGCTTGCTGTAAACCTAAACCTTAGAACTTAAACCCTACCTTAATCCTGAATATCCTACCATTTTAGGGCTCTTTATTATGATTTCCATATATAAGTCCTTAAAAGGGTAGGTACTTCCGGGTTAAGGTAGGCCCTAGACCCTAGACCCTACAACCCTAGCCAAGGGTTTCGGATCCGGCTTTCAGGCTCTGGGGGGTTTTGGGGTTTTGGGACTTTAGGGTTTGGGATTTTGGGGCGGATTGATTTTCAATGGGGTTTTAGAGTTTTGGGAGCGCTTGTAGGATTTACGTGCGGGGTTGGGGTTGGTGTTGGGGTTTTAGGGTTTAGTGGGTTTGGGGGGGCTACGGTTTGGGGTTTCAGGGTTCGGGGTTTGTGGCTTCGCACCTTTAGCCTAAGCTGGCAATAGCCCAAAGGCCCTGTGGGCTCTTTGAGTCCAAGAGTCCTGAGAACCTGAAGGTAAGCTCGATGTTTGCGCCAGAAAAAACACCCAGATACACACAGATACACACAGTAAAATCCGAGAGCCATCATACAAAGCCTTAAAGCAGGATTTTCATCCTCAGGGTATGGGCCGTCTCGTTCTGAATGAGGTGAGGGTTCATAGGGGAGCGCAAGCAGGAAATACACCTTTTTTGCGACGCTTCCTTAATACTGTTCTGTGTAAACATGCAGGAACCCAATAACATGTGCGTCGACATAGTATCTAGATCTATATTCTTCCACACAGCCCGAACATTCCCTTCCGCAAGTCCATCAATTCCAACAGCAGTCGTAGTCCAACCCCAAGACGTGATCCCGCAAACTTCCTTACCGAACAGACAGTTCGGCATGAGTTTCGACTTTCCATGTATGTTATTACGGAAGTATGCCCCTGCACAGGGGCTGTTGCCGTGAAGCTATAATCTATAACCTAGTCGAGCAAATCCCACACAAAGAGATCCATGTTGAATCCCAACTCTCTGTAAAACACCAAGTCGCCTACTTCGAGAGCTTACACGCTAAACCCTACTCCCAGAACCCTCCAAAGCTAAACCCTAAACCCAGTCCTTAAAGCTTACACCGCATGATTGAAGCCGTAAGAGACTTACAAACCCAAACCCCTAAGCCCCTAAACCTTAGAAGGGGCCCCCACCCTGTAATACAGTAGTGGTATAGCAGGAATACAATAGGGCCCTAATAGAATCCTTACAGTCACTATTACAGGGTGGGGGCAGCTTCTAACCTAAACCCTACCTTAACCCTGAAGAACCTACCTTTTAAAGGACTTGTATAAGGAAATCATAATAAGGAACCCTAAAAAGGTAAGTTCTTCAGGGTTAAGGTACACCCTACTTTGCACTCCCGGGCCCTGAACACTCGAAAGACGTGGCCAGGTCGGCGCAGGCCAGGGCGAGGCCACACGTTGAATCTCCCTTGGGTGATCCTTAAGCTCTAAGGACTCATATCTTTTTCTGCTTTTGGGCCCAAAGACCATACTAAATAAGGCTTTTGGGCTATTTTGATCCCGGATCCCTAGGGTTAAAATTCACCTGGGTTTATCTGATCTATTCACGGCATCAAACTCCCCAAAGACTTCTGCGCCTTTTGATTGAAGCGCATAGGGCTTGCACGTGGTCAGGGTTCATTAGGGTTTAGGTTTGACGTGTGTTTGGGCGCATCGGGTTGCCACGTTGGAATTGCTTTGGCTTTGGGGTCCAGGTCTAGACCAGGGTTCTGGGCAGGACATAGGGCTGCCAGATTGCTTGGGTTGCTTGGCCTGTCTTTGTTGTTCATCTCGCTGTCGGCTTGGGGGGGTGGGTTTACCTAGAAGCTCGAGTCATGGTGAGCACGCTCTTCATTGCTTCCTGTTGGGCTTGAATCTGGTGTGTCGAGTCCATGTATCCATACCGTATATGCTCTGGCCCTGCAATACCGATATATGCAGTACTTGAAGGCCAAAATACATGCCTTATGAGTACACACATTGGTAGCTTTCTCAAGGAGGATCCCCTGTTAT